AAATCATAATTACTATCAAGTTATAACTGCTAACCACTCTATTATTGGGGTCTTCATGTGTACAAACAGAGAAGGAGTCTGGTTTATTGCTATTTTTCTGTAACTGCTCTTTAACAGCTTGGCTTATACTCACAACTGAGTCTTCTACTGTTTTCTTCTCAGCTACAGAGTCATGAATGCGCGCGCAACTTTTTCGATTGCCAAATCTTTTTTTTAAATTTTTATTGTTGGCACTATGACAGATGTCCCATCCCCCCTACCCCTTTGCCTGCCTCCACCCAGCCCTTGCTATCTCCAAATCTTGAAGCTGGAATAATTGCCAATCTGACTATAAAAAAAGTACATCTGCCATATGAAAGTAGTTTCAGCTATTACTGTTAAATGAGTAATTACGGCATTAGACTCTGGTGGCACATGATAGGAACTTTGAAATACAGTTGAATGTGGAGCGTGCTGGGGTTATGTGGTTTCAAATGTTGAAAAATTGCTTCTTTGTGCTTATTGATATTTTTTTCAGGGAACACTCTGTTATTTGGTTCAAACTGTAACATGACAGATGATGTCTTTGGTACACATAATCCGTGCAATTATAGTGCGAGCTTCTTCTGTCAGTGGTGGTTAAAAATCTGTATACCTTCATTCCTTTTTAGCCTCTGATATTTTTGATTCAATTTAACTCAGCCTTTTATTTAAAAACTTGAATTTGAATGGGTTCCATTAACAGTGTTTTAAGGTGACAGTCAAGTCAAGAATGCTGCCAACTTTAAGCTGAACACATTCCCCTGCCCTCCAGATGAATATGCAACCTAATTTCAGGCCTGTTGTAATGCAGGAGTGTAGCTGATTTGTAAATGGCCCTTGCAAATAACATCATAGCACAATTGCCAAGCGATGGTTCTCAGGCAGGGGGAAGTATGTTACTAGCTATCTAACTGGTCACCCTGATTCTGGTCTCCCAGTTCTGCCTGGGATGCAGCTCACAGAGCCATACAAGGTGACTGAAGCTATAGAATCATCACGGGCCCTGGCTGGTGTAGCTCAGTGGATTGAGTGCGGGCTGCGAACCAAAGTGTCGCAGGTTCAATTCCCAGCCAGGGCACATGCCTGGGTTGCAGGCCACGGCCCCCAGAAACTGCGCATTGATGTTTCTCTCTCTCTTTGTCCCTCCCTTCCCTCTCTAAAAATAAATAAATAAAATCTTTAAAAAAAAAAAGAATCATCATGGATACAGCCATCCCATTTTAGTTTCATTGTAGACACACTTAGGCCTGTCTCCATTCATTGCGATGAAAGCCAAATGAATTTCATCCACTTTACTAAACACTATATCCTTTTCTTCCTTTCAATTGGAAAGTACAAGTGAATATTAAAGCATAAACACAATTACAGGTGACTCTTCCTGCTAATGAACTTACCATAGAGCCATCCTTGGCCTGTGGTGTGCATTTGCCACTCCCAGACTGCGTGGCCATGGAGGCTTCTCTCAGCCCTGTGCCCTGTTGCTGTGTCTGTCCTGATGGCAGGGATTGGTAGGTTATTCATGTCTACCCATTTTTCCCAGAGTGGCTAGAATGGTCTTAAATATAGAGAAGGATTGTGTTAAATATTCAGAAGGTTAATTGAATTTAATATACAACCTGAAGATTAATCTGAAGTTTTGGAGTCATTAATGATTCAGTTTTTCATAGCATGTAATTTATTTGCTATTATCTAAGGTAGTGACTTATTGAAGTAAAAAGGGAACATTTTTTTCCCCACGAGATGGATCTTACAAGCTGCTGTTGGTTTCATTTATATATGTGAGGTTCCTCAGTGTTACATGATATATTGCAGCATGGGATCCAACACTTGCCAAATGAGAGTGCAATCATTAGTAACTCCCGATTTCATGAATATTAATAATAATGGTTGGGTATCAGTTTAAAGGACAATGAATCAACATGGAATATTGTAATGATTACTCCCGTGTCATAGCTGGGAAAACTGGCGCTCCGAAATGTAACCTGCCTTAATGGAGATTGCCGATCTATTAAAAGTCAGCCTTGGTATTTGAACCCTAGTAGCCCGATTTTGCATAATGGCATTGTAAGAACTAACTGGAAGGACAGATATTCTTAGAAAGTATAGCCTCTGATGAAAAAAAAATCAACATGGTTGTTTCGTTCTTATGGTAACTCAGTTTTTGTTAAAGAGTTGGCTAGTGAAACTGCCTGGGGAAATGTATTTCATAAGTACATGCTGAACAAATATATCATTTGTTCACTTGTCATGAGTGCTTAAAAACAGATGAAAATGGGTAGTTAAAATAGTTTCATTTTCCCAATTCCCTCTGCTGTCTTACTACTACATATGTTACTATATAGTATTAATACTGTGAAAGCCATATTGTCTGGTACTTGTCTACTGAGAATACTCTGGAAATCAGCATTTTTTAATTTTAATAACTGTTACATACTTGGTACCAGTTGACTGTTTTGCAGACTGTATTTTTCACCTGCTTAAATGCTTTTCATATTTTCTGTAATAATACTTTTTGAGAATACATAAACCGTATCAAGTACAAGATTGGAGAGGGAGGACTTTTAACTTTACATCGGATGAAGAGGGGGATTCTATTCATTGGTTTCTGGGTATTTTTTCCCTTTGCCATTAGAGGAAAGCAGAGTACTTTCCCACAAGCACCTCCCTTGACACACCAAAAGGTTGCTGGTGTTCAGTAATGGAACATTCACTGAAGGAAATGCAATCCGGGTGGAGTGTTCTCTAATCAGCAGTAATAATTGAGCACCTAGTGTGTGCATTGTTCTATTGTCTGTAACATTTGGGGTACCACATTCTGGGTGAGGAAAATAGCAAACTTTTTTATAGCACTTGCCGTGGACCAGAGGTATTAAGCAATTTCTTGGGGGAGCACAGTTTGCCAATGCAGAGCTGGATTTGAGCCTGCGGGTGGTTTGGCCTCAGAGTCCTGCTCTCTCGCTCCTAATTGCACTGTGTTACAGGATTAGCTGGGTGGCCTTGGCTTTGTTAAAACAATAACAGTGATACAAACTGTAGCTAGCATGAGGAAATACCCCAATCTGTCAGGTTCTGAGAACCTGCTGGGAATCTTGGCTAAGCTGAGTGTTAGGCTACCTGGAGATTTTCTTTTCATATGCAGCCACATTCATTTGGAACCACGACTTCCTGTGAATGCCTTATGATGGCTGTTTGAAGAAGAGAAACAAACATATGAATTTTTAAAAAGTTTCTTGAGGTATATTGATTTTTAGGAATGGATGCAATTAGTAGGTCTCATAAGTTCAAAGAATTATTTATCCCGGCATATTTGGGTTGCACATGAAGCTCTTTAATAGTAAAAGATGTTGCGGGTCCTACTGCTTTGATGATGTAGGAGTAGCTTGAAACATGCGCAGTAGTGCGAGTGTCAGTGCTGCCAGCACAGATGGAAAAATATATTGCTTAAATTGAAAAAGCAGGCTGTGTCTACTCTTTGACTCCCTTTATATTTACTCTGACTACTCATACTTTCTGGGAGGGTGGGGAGGGGATTTGGCCCTGTGCTTTATCGGGAAGATCCTGAAAAATTTTGGATTATGGATTCTGAGTACCTCCTACTTACTCCTCCCACTTGTGAAAGGGAAACAAGCAAAACACAACCTGGGAGATTCTGAAGCCAGGTCATGACAGAGCCTAACGTGCCATAACCCCCCCAGGGAATTATGCAAAAATGCAGATTTGGATTAGGGGGTCTGGACTGGGGCAGATGGATGTGGGGAGGCGGAGATTCTGCAGTTCCAAGAGGCCTCCAGATAATGCTGCTTATAGTAGCAAGAGTGTATGTAGCTTGTAGCTGATCCATTTTGACCCAGCCCTGATCACCTGAGTCACCTGGGGGACATCAATTCCCAAAGGAATAGGATTACAGTTACTGGGGCTGAGGCCAGACAGGTAATTTTTTAATGTGAGTAAATTTTAATGTATTAACAATATGTTTATATTTAAAAGCTTTAAGAGACAGTACATGTACACAGGGCTGAACAGCAGGGTTCGCACGTGCAGACAAGCTGCCTCGGCGGCCAGGAACATGTGCTGGTGGCAGCGCAGGTGGAGCTGGAATAAATAACAGTGCTTCCGGAGGATCGTAGTGACTGCAGGGCAGCTACAGCAGGAACGCTCCCCAACAGACATGTGCAAAGTTCTAGGTCTCCCCAACAGCTTTCGAGCCTGGCTGCCAGCTGCTGGGGGCAGCCACATGCAGGCACAGTGGGCCTGGGGTGCTGGCGGGCGGGGAGGGTGGAGGGGTGCTGGACACAGAAAACTGAAGAACTAGAGTTCAGACAAGCACGTATTCACACCATGTAAAGTGACTGTACACAGTTCACAAAGGAGCCACCAACCTCCCTGTCACCCTCTGGCAGCAGGCTAGGCCATCACAACTCCCGACAGGGACACTGTCATCAGGAGGAAGGCTGCCCTGTGTGCTGAGGACAGGCCTCTAGGAGAGGGCAGAGCCGTCCTCGCTGCGGCACTGCTGAGAGTCCCCAAACCAAACAGGTGCCAGCTGCTCGCTGCAGGTGCGGAAAGCACCACATGTCCCACCTCAGACCCGCAGGGCGGGTGGAGGCCATTGTCTTCTTACCTGATGGCAATCACGCGATGTGTGTTGTCAATCATGCTTTAGCCAGAGCAGTGATGGGGGGACAGGAACGTTAGTTCCATGAGCTGAATACTTATTGCTATGAGCCTACTTCTAATGTGTGTCTTGAGCCAAAACATAGTGTCTAAGGACTGCTAAGCTCAGCATGCACTTGCACCTGAAGGAAAGGCAGTCCAGGGGCAATGGCACCTACCCAGGGCCCCAAGCACACCTGAAGTGGAGAAAATGGAAGCCACCCTGCACAGCTAGGTCCAGTCTAGGCACAGGAGCCACAGGTAGCGGGCTGATCGGGGCTTCTTAGGACTGCAGGTTGGTTGAATTGAGGATTTGAGAAGTAGCGTCAGATCTGGAGGCCTTTGAAAGTTCTCATGCTCAGCAAGCTGCCATTGAGCTCCAGGTTCTCCTTGTTGGCTCCATGGAGGGCGGCACACGTTTGTTTCTTCCCTGAGCAGGTGGAAGTGAGGACAGGCTAGCACACCTTCCCAGGTGTGGAGGGTGGCAGCCCTCGCCGCTTGCTGGGTGTCCGGGGCACACTGCCGTACAGCATCTCCGTCTCCATCTGCTTCTTGTTCTTCAGTTGCCTTTCCTGCTTGGTGCGCTCTTTCTCTAGGCGGTACACCTCCCACTGTTCGGCCACGTACTCCATGAATTTCTGTCCATTCACCACAAATGCCTTGGAATGCTCCTTTTCCTACGTTTCAATCTGGGCCATCAGTTCCTCTTCCAGCTTAGAGAGTGTTTTTTGGAGCCTCACTCGTTGCTTTTCCTCTTTTAGAAGATTTCTTCCTCGGTTTGTGAACCAACTTGGATCTGACGCTTTTCTCTCAAAGTCTAAGAAGAGCCTCCAGCTCTCTTCCCACTTCCGCACACCTTCGAAGAGTTCTCTGTGAAGCTCGTAGTAGCTTTTTAACCGCACAATCTCAGCGTCATGGAGCTGGAGCAGAGTTTCTGTGTAGTCTTCATTAGAGTAAACAACAAAAGCCTGTCTCTGCTCCTGGCTGTAGAAACACTGGTGCCAGTACTTCTCCAGCTCCACTCGGATCGCCTCGATCCATGTCTTCATGTTTTGCTTTTTCAGTTCTTCCAAGCGATCCACTTCTGACTGCACAGTTTTCTTGACCTTGGCCTTCGACCCAGTCATAACCATGGCCAGAGCGTCTCTCCCCTCTGCTGGTATTTGCAGCCTGTCCCAGAGCTCCTGGATTTGAGCGCGCGGCCCCTCACGCACTGCTTCGTTTTGTGGCTTCCACATGTCTAGCTGCTGTAGCAACTTCTGTAGCATTGCGATATTGTCCAATGACAAACAAAAGGCATCTTCGTCTTCACACACCACGTCTCGTTTGAAGCTCGTGTCTGGGGTGTGGTCCAGTTCTTCCATACACAGTATGATCTGCTTCTTCAGGGTGACGAACTCCTCGAGCCAAGAGGCCTTCATCTCCTTCAGGGTGGCCATATGCTGCCTGAACTGGCTCATCTCCTCCACGCTAGGGACCCGTGTCACCGTCAATGTCATAGCGTGGCACGCAGAGGACTTCACACAGTTCTTGATCTTGTTCTTGAAACAGCTTCAGCTCACGTTTTCTCTCCTTCTGTTTCCGCATGAGTTTCACCTGAGTCCACAAATCCTTTTCTAGCTGCAAGATGGTCGGCTCCCCTTCCTCCTGAAACATGCAGCTTCCTGCACAGGGTGGTCAGCTCTTTCTGGCAGTTAGCAATGCTTTTGATGAGCCTTTCCTTCAGGCTCTCCTCTTCAGCGATCACCATGTCCAGGAGGTCCTTGATGTGCTTCTTCACAACCTCCGTTCTTTGTAGCCGTTGGTCCTCGGGAGTCCCAATGACTTCCCATAGCTCCCAAAGGTTTATCAGGGCTTTCTGCAGACACAGAATGGACTTGTCCACGAGCACCTCACTTCTCCTCATGGTGAACGCTCCCAGGGACCGGATGTGAAAGTCCAGGACCTACTCCACACAGCACTGAGCACAGCAACCGACGACCAGGACAGCTCGCACTGGATTGCCACCGCCAATTTTTTTTTTTTTTGTGGGGGGAAGCTACCAAAGTGAGTCGATAATAAATTTGTCAGCTTTGTTTCTGGGGTGGAGCAGGGTTCAGGTAATGCCAGCTTTGAAAACTTCACTGTAGGGATCAGATCAAGATGTTTAAAGGCAAACTTTCTGATACCCTAAGAGCCTCCTGTTGGCCCAAATTACATGAGAAGTCTTGGCCACCCCCCACCGCCCCCACAAAGGGCACTGCTGCCAGTTCTTTATGATTGCGTCCAGACCAGCTTAAATCATAGAGAGCACCAAGAAAAAGGGAGCATTTAATGGTTAGTTTGCGGACCTGCTTAGCATTAGATAATGTCTGTGAAGGCTCCCAGAGTGCGCCCAGGAAAGCTGGGGCCCAAATATGGAAAAGAGGAGTCATGATTACGAGGTAGGAGTTGAAATTACCGTCATGCACATTAAAAGTATTATTTCAGCTCTTTCTTATGCTCTTGGCTTTGGGATTTCATTTCCCGTGGTGTTGGGAGAGGAGGGATAAGCTAGGAAGATAGGACTTGCTGATGCTTTTGTTGTAATGAAGCTGGAATTCTATGGCCCTCCTCTCTCTCCCAATCTGTCTGTCTGTCTGTCTCTCTCTCTCTTTTTCTTTCAACAGACTCTCTAGCAACTAGCTTTTAAATATTTCTTAAATCTTACTATTAATCTTTCACCCTGAGGTCTTGCACAAAGATAATACACAGGTGGGGACAAATGGTCTTACCTTTTCTTAATCTATTGTGTCCCGTTTTTAATGTTTAGTCTTTTTACAAAACCAAGTGTTTCCGATTCTTGTTGCATTTGTGATGTTCTGTACCCCAGCTTCTTACCTTGTCCAAGGGTTAAAAACGTAAGGGAAACCCCATAATCAGAAGAAAGGGTTGGATGTTCTTTCACTTCCTTTTTTGAAGCTTATACAGTGAGAAAGGCATTGTGCTTTGTTGCCTTTATCTTATGCATCAGGGGGAGTTTGAGTAGCAAAGCAGAAGGTCGGGGATGAGGGATTTCTTACAGGGTTCCATTTAATATACACTGTGGGCACCTGTGTCTGTTGCTAAGGCTGAAGTCGCTTTAGGAAAGTGGGTGTGGGTGAGATAGGATACTTGGAAACTGCCTCTGGCTCTCCCACTGTCAACCTCAATGACAGAGTGGCTTACAGAAGAACCTGGTGTCCTTCCTGAAAGAGAGAAAGATAAGACCAGTTCTTTCAGGTGTGGAATGCTGCTCCAGGCCCTTGTGGGAGAGACAGAATTCCAACCCACTGTGGCGCATGCCCAGTATACTAAGGGGACCCAAAAGGAGGGAACCTAGAGCCTACCACAGGGTAGGAAGGAATAGGTCCAATGAGGAGGATGGCCAGCGACCCACGATGGGGGTGTAGTATGAACGGAGGCCTGGAGGGGGAAATGGCTTGATGGATATCTGGAAGTAAGCTTTGCCAGCTAGTGGGGTTAGTGAGCCTGGGGGTTAACGGGGACCTTGTGTGTCTTTGTAAGGAACTTGGACTGTAGAGGTAATCAGGAAGAGTTGGAGAAAGGATTTTAGCAGAGGTGTGCTGCCATCAGATGGGGATGGAGAAAAAAGTCCTTCTAGTAGGTGACTTTTCTGGAATGATCATCTGCTCCCTGGTAGCTTTTTAAAAACCAGCTTTATTTGAGATCTAATTTACATACCATAACTTCACCCATTTGAATTATCCCATTCAATGGTCTTCTATATGTTTATAGAGTTGTGTAGCCATCACCACAATCTGATTTCCAATCATGTCCATCAGCCCAAAAGAAACCTTGTGCCCATTTGCAGTCACTCCCATTTCCACGCCCAGCTCTCAGCAGCCACTCATCTTTGTAATTTCTCCTTTTTTTTTTAACATTACGGAGAATGTTTCCTAAGTGTATTATTTACTTGAAGGAGTATCTCTGCCAAATTATAAACTCTTGCTCTTGGCCTTCCAGCTACCTCTCAGCTCATTCCCATCAGGAGTGCTTTGGATTGCATGGAACAGAAACCTGGCTGGGACTGGTTTAAACAGGGATGCTTGTTATCACACATAATTGGGAAGCTACAGAGAGGGTGGACCCTGAGGGCAGTGTGTTCAGCTGCTTAAGGTGACATTAGAGACCTGTGTTCTGATGCCATTTCTCCTCCATGGCATCCTTCTGGCAGTAGCTTCACCCAAGGGCTGGTGTCTCTGTGGTTGTCAGGTGATTGGATGGCATCCTCTGGCAGCCCTCTGATTCCTTGTTCACCGCTGGTATCTAGGAGGAGTCCTTTCTTGCACTCTCTGTCTGATTGGGTGTGATTACTTCCTGTTGCCTACCGTGAGCCAATGATTGGCTTAGAATTAATTGAGCTGCCTCTTTGAAGTTGAGAATGGGCCCTATGGTGCATGGGTGGGCATCTGTGACCCATAGTGAGTTCTGGTGGGTAGGCTTGGGAGTAATAAAGTAGTACATGAGTGTTTTTTCAAGCTGACCCTGGCTTGATGTCATTGTGGAAAGTGTCGTCAGTTCAGAACTCCCCAATTAAGGAATTTGTTGTAATTTGGTCAGAGAGTGCACTGAAGTTGACCTTTGGAAGCTTTAATAGTGTGTGCATTAGTGAGAATGGTGTTGACATTAACATATGTGAAAGATTAATGATTTAAGTGACATTAGAAAAACCTGTTTGCTTTAGGATAGAAATTTTTAAATATATGACCAGTAGTAAATAACATAAAATCATTCTTACCTAGTTATTAGGTTAGCTCTTTGGTATCCTTGCGAAAAAAAAATCAATCCTGAATATATCAGTATTCAAGTTACTATATGAACTTGAAATGAACAGAAATTGACCTTTTCAAGTATAATTAATGCTTCATGAAGGCACACAGACATTCTGCCAGTTATTTGGACTTTATATGTAGTAAAAAAAAATCAAGGTATGCCTGCTCTTCGCAAAGTAATTTTATTTGACTGTCAGCTGCATTTTCAAATCTGTTGTGGAGTGAGGCCTGTCTTTATGTCAGTAATGAGCATTTGCTGGTGCAGCTCTTAATGGTGAGAACGGATGTCAAAGAAAGCAAACACCATATGCCCTTTGTTTCCCGTGCATGTCCCCTCCTGGAGGCTGGGTGGAGTGTTTCAGCTGTCTCGAATAATCTCCATTTTGCTGTTACTGCAGACTTTGCGGTTCTCCAACTCCCTTCTCTCCAGTGTTAGTTACAACTTCCTAATTAGGTGGCTCTTCTTCCTCTTTCTCCTCCTGGGTCACAAAGGTTTCACACTCTCAAGTGTGAGAGAGTGGATTAATTTTGAAAAATGAGTTTCACTTGAGCTGTGACAGAACTAAGTGCGGAGAATTAAAAAAAAAAAACCCACCCAGTGTGAATGTGTAGTGGGAGGGGCAAGGCAGGCTGGGTACGGGACAGGATGCTTAGAATAATTCAGCTGCCAAGTGAATCAGAAGGACTTGGAGTTCTCAGCGAGCACGGACCACACTCCTGCCCGGAGTTCAGACACAGTCAGCCCCAAATCACCATTTCCTACCCCACAGAATGGAGCTTTCTGCAGCCAAAGCCCCGAGTCCTGTAGATGCGTCTGAGATTGTAAGTAGGCCATACGTACATCTGTTTGGGTTGTTATTATGTCTGCATCTTTCGTAGCCTGTTGCCTGACTACTTTGTAGGCTGGGAGGGAGGCGTGGTGGGACATTTGGTACCGATACAGTCCTTCCCAGATGGTGAGCAACACTGTTTTCCACTTGGACTTGGGTCTCAGTTTTCTTGTTTTTGGTAGAAGGGAATTTCTTTCCCTAGGTCCTCCTCTGTGACAGAGGTGGCTTTTGGCTGAGTCCTTTTTGTAGTGGAATCTGTAAAGCTTTTGAACAGCCCTGTCATCTGGTGTGATGGCTCTTTCCTTTGAACCGCTATCGAGTCTTTTCCAGGGGACACCGAACACAGTTCCAGTCACCTCCCCACCTCCCACTCTGCAGGTGGCCCTGTAGTCAGTGAGGTGTCCTGATCAAGGGCTGGGAGCAGGTAACATTTCGGAGGCAGCTGGCCAATTTGTGAGTCTGGGATGAGGCCAGGTGTGGAATGCAGCTTTCCTGTGGTGGGAAGGAATAAAGGCGAAGGAGATTAGAATGAGAGGGAAGGTGGGACAGAAACTCAGATCAGGCCACTCAGAGCACTGCCCTGTTGCCAGGTCCTGGGTGGTGGGCAAGACTCCACTCATTCAGCTAACTGTAGCCTTGGGCTACTAATAAAAAATCTCTCCTAGTCTTATTTATCGAATCTGAAAATCACCATCACTGTACTTTGTGGGATAGCGGGATTGTTCGAAGAAATGAATGTGAAAGCGCCTGGCACTTGGTAATCTCTAGCTGAGTGATCTCGTTTGGCCCTCCTGACCCTCTCTCCTTCCTTCCTTCCTGGGATAGTGTACCATCAGTGCAAGCGGTGTGCTGGGCTCTGTGAAATGGCACTCATGTTGTTAACCCCAGCTTGTTTCAGGGTGGCCTTTGTGGCCACCAGATTCTCTTGGTTGGTATCATAGGTTTGGTCTTGAGGTTGGCCAGTTCAACTTGCTCAAGTCCACAGCCTCAGATTGTCCTTTTAGTCATAGCCAAGTGACGCCCTAGAACAAGGAGGTCCCAGGGAGAAGGTGTGAGTGGGTTAGGTTTATGTCTCAATGATACATTTGCGTCGAAGATCATGGGGACTGCGGATTGAAGTCTCGAGGCCATGTTATGAGTCCTAGAGGGAGAGTGGTAATTCAGAAGAACCGTTTCCAGTTCAGTGTTGAGTTTCCAAGTTAAGGATACCTATATTCAGCTGGGAAAAGGGAGAAGAAAAAGAAAAGGTAAACCTTGAAGAATACTGTTTGGCAGCTGTCTGA